AACTGCAAAGGAGTTGAACTTGAGGTTACACTATTTCCCCAAAGCTTTCATTATTCTCCATAAAATATCAGGCTTCCAGGTGAGGCCAGCTTCTCACTCCAAAACTCAAACAACACTAGATGTTACAGAACAAATGTTGCTGTTGATTTTAATGCACTAGGCATTCTGTAAAAACTGTTACTGAAGATGTTGAGCAAGAACTCCTTTTTCTAATAACATGACCCCTGATGTGATGGAAATCCCTGTATCTGCCAGGATCATACAGTAGATATTTTGTGCATGTCTAGGGATATTTCTCTATGAGCTGCTTATGATATAAAGTAGATAGCAGCCTACATAACACACCAATGCACCACCCCATGTGAGCCAAGATCGTGGAAGTACTGTTGTGTGGTTGATTTTCAGAAACTTGGTACATGATATGATAAACAAAAATGATAAGTACAGTGTATTACTGAACTAAACACTGAAACATCTGAGGATTCAGAATGTAGAAGACAGATTAATAAAGAATTACTGCTCATTCAAATTAAAGTCCATATACAGTATCTAGGAAACATATAGCAAGATTAATCACTGTAAAACATGTTTAATCTCAGGTTCTTTAGAAAGTTACACTCTAAATCCTCATCCTAACATGTCCTAACATGTCCTGCTAACATGATCTTCTAGAATGACATCATCCAGATTGCCTGGATCTTCATTTTAGAGCTTTCTACAAGATTCTGCAACTAAAAATTAAAAGACTACCTTTGGTTTTGCGATATGATCTTCATTACTCCATTTTAGCAAAGAGCAGCATTACTATTCATATTTGATTAAACAAGCTTGTTGCATTATGGTTAGCTGAATTCTTATTTTTTGCTTTGCGTGTTTAAGATATCAAAAAACAAAAGCTAAAAAAATAAATTGACGTATTATAAACGTATAAAACGTGTTGAGAAACATGACACATAATATGCATATACAGGAAAAACATATTATAAATATGTAAAAAACTATAAATGTGTCTCAATCATGATTGAGGAGCTAAGTTGTACATTACCTTGACTGAATTCTGCAGAACAGTCACTGGAAAGATTTTTGTTGGCATGGAGCTTAAAAATAACCTGAAGTTTTCATGAATTGTTGTGTCTGAAAAAAAAAACATGAAAAAGCAACAAAAAATAAAACTCAAATTTAAATGTCAATATGTTTGAAAGGCATTTTATACACTCCAATGATATCTGAAAAGCAAAGGACCATTAAAGAAATTGATTTTCCATTAAAGACATTAACACAAATTTCTCCGAAGTAAATAAATATCTGTACGTCAGAATATACAACTGTAAAAATAATTAATTTACATGGTATTAAGACTTTTATTGTTGTTGTTTTTGGTTTATTTTAAGGTTTTTGGGAAGAATACATGAGAATGAATAATTTGGGAAATAAGTGGGGGTGGGGGGAATTTGATATTTTGAAAAATTGCTAAAACAAATTCACAGTATGTAGACAGGACAGATAGTGTGGATCTCTACAAGATTGAAAAACATGAAAATATTTCGTATATGTTTACAGTTTGTAGATATATTAAAGAGAAAGTCAGGATGTCACCCCAAAGTATGACCCACCACCTCCAAAGTTTTCAGTAACACTGGCTTAAAAAGAATATCGTTTACCACTGGTATACCAGTGCAGCCCTGAAAAGCCAGATGTTTGCTGCTTAATGCATACAATTTCTCATACTAAAATTGCATGATCTGTCTAGTGTTGTTCTCCTCATGAATATATTGATTATATCTCTAAGCTCCAAGCATACATTGTTATAGAGACCTGAACAGGCAGCCACACTCAGAAGTCCCTTCTCAGAGGATTTGTGATTTCTCTTTTCATTATGCTGCAGACAGGAATGATACTGAGCCCTTACAATATTTTCTATTGTTCCTCGGAGCTAAGGCAAGTCTCTTGCTCAACACCCCTGTGTTTTGCCTACACTAAAGCTGGAGCAATGGAGAATGTACACGTAGCAAATTAACACATACTTGTAAAGCCCAAAAAATAATTCCATTCTTCGGTGCCATACAATAGTCTTTGGAAAGCCTCTTGGGCATAAAGGGTTTGCTTTTTAACATCATAATAACCCCAGCACAAAGTCACACTTAAATTATTTAAAATAGACTACAGTTTTGACTACATTTGTTTTTTTTTCTAATTGGAAAAAAAATCAATAGACAAAATTGCTAGGCGTTGAGTGTCTTCACTGTGCATCCACCAGAAATACACTCTAGACTATGATTCTGATTAAATACATTTGATACACTGCTACAGTTTTGTGACAGAAGTGTAATAGTGCCTGACATATAACGTGTTTATGTGGCTGAGTAAGCCACAAAATAAAGATGAGATACTCTGGTGATCACAAAAAGTTGCAGGGAAATGTCTGAAAACACATAATCTTTCCAGAAAATAATTGTTAATGCCAATTCTTCCATTCTTGGCTGCTTTTCAGAGTAGGCTACAGTAGTTTTGCAAGATTCAAACATTATGAACACATAGAAATGGATTAATTTTACAGATAAAAAATAATTTTAAAAGAATGACATTCAACAATTATTGTGAAATAAAGAAAAATATTCCAAATGTTTAGGATATTGGAACCCTATGGAGCCTCAATACCTCCTACAGTATACACAAATAATGTATGATGGAACAATACAGTATGTAGCAATAATGTGGTGGAAAATAGCTGAGGCACTGTCTAGAGAGCCTCTGGAAATACAACTTTCCCAAAGCTGGCCTTATTTTCCTTTCATCTCCCAGGATGAAAGCCCTCTCTGACCTAGCTGAAGATGTAATGCACCTTACAAGAAATTATAAACAAGAAATCACCTATCTTAGTTTTGTTTTGTCAGAATAAAATAGGTCTAGGATGATGTGAGTGTCAGTGATAAAATTGAAAAGGTGGGTAGTAATTTCTGCTGTGTAGAGTCCCTATACAGTCCCTGTGTAGAGTCAGTTGGATTATCACACTCACTGGGTTCTGTGAAACTTTTGATCAGTTCTTCCATCGCCAGCATCCAGGACACAGCAAGGTGGCAGTTCTGCAGAAATATCCAATTGCCAGTGTTGAGGGCTTCCTTTATCATTTTCTCAGCAATGGGACCTTGGCCTTGCCCAAGTGATATAGATTGTACCCTGAAATTAAAGAAAAACATCTAATAAAAATAAAGGTGATACATACAATTCATACACATGCACACCCGTCTTTAACATAACATTTTAGTGGAGTCCCCATTACATGTAAAGCGCTTTGAGCTGAGTGTTCAGAAAAGCGTTATATAAGTGTAAGAAATTATTAATTATTATTATTCTGTCATTTCTGAGTCACATCAGTTCTAAGACCACAAACAGATCATTCCAAAAAAGTTACGCAAGAAGCTACAGTTAAATGTAATAGTGTAATAGTGGAGTGTTAGGGTATTCAGGTAGTACTTGTAACTGAAATAAAAATACAGTACTGTATGTGAGTGACAAGCTATTTAGTACTTAGATGGGAGGATACAAGATCTTAGTAATTTTTAATCAAGTCTAATCATAATCATAGATTACTTAATAGGAAAACTCATCAATAGTAGTTACAATTCCTAACTGTTGGGGATGACATTTTTACAAGTGTACAACGTAAGTGACTGAAATGCTCTTGTCATTGGTTTACATTTTATCTATGCCATGGATCAGATCAGCTATCAATAATTCCTTGTGTGGAAATATATTTTAAAAAGTCCATGTATTCTATCAGATGCAACATCAAGACAATTGTTAAAATATTAACTGTTAAAATATCAAGTGTTCTGCTAATCAAGTCTTTAGATCTGTAGATTTTTGTTGGGCTCCTACCTGTCCAAATAATCTCGCTCTTTGGCAAATCTCTGGAAAGCTCCCATGGGGTCAGAGCCCGTACTCAAGATGAATACAAGCGGAGTAGAAGGAGACATATCATTGTACAAAGTGGCCAAGTCTACTGGAGGATTCTCAACAAACTGTTTTCCAAGGCTTTCTATCACAAAGTCTGTGACAGCAAACACCACCTACGGGGAAAAATAAATAACTCAACAGGGCATACTGTACTTCTTAATACTTAATACCTCACGTGACATTTAACATTTTGTCTGGATATAAAGGTATAATAAATGTATATTAGGTTTTCAAACTGAGACATTTCTCTTTTTGGAAAAAAATAAATACTAACTATATTCAGGATGCCATATGTTAACATACTGTACAGATGTTGTTATAAAAAGATAGCAGCAGATAAAGCAGAAAAACAGTTTTTGAACTATATGGAACTATGGCGCTAGACCCATTTGTAGAAGAAGATATATTAATACTCAGAAAAGAAAGAAAGGAAATAAAAGAAATTGTTTTCCTGTGTCAGTTTAATCCTATATATTGCTCTCTATACCATGTACAAATCTATAAAGCCTACAATTCATTCAGTAATTAAACTTAGGATGTTTTTTTCAAAGCACAATGTTACTTGCTCTTAAACACATTCGATGAAAAACATCTATTTAGAGATCAGAACAACCAGATAGTCCACAGCACTGTGTGAAGATTACACAATAACACTTTCACAGATTGCATGGATATTGAACACAGATGTACCTACTGTATACCTACAGTGACTAACAATCATACTGGTGTCACGGACGTCCAAAGGGACTAACCGTGGGGAGCAGGAGAGCAGAAAAAGACCCATATGCGTAGCGGCAAGACGGGGAAAAGGCCCGGGCTCATAGTGCAAAGAGTTCAGGAATGCCGTATAGAAACCTATGCCCTCAGGGAGCGGACGTGGGGCGCCCTGGTGCTAGGCGGGTCTCAGGACATCCGAACGTCAATGCTGAGCCAGGACAGAGTGCAAGACCCGGAAATATATAGCCCAAGGAAGAGAGGGACAGGAAGGACAGCAGACCGGAAACTAGGGACAGGACAGAGATGGAGCGCCCTCTGGCTGCAGAGGGCGTGACAACTGGCTTCCTTTATTTGAAACTGTATAATCCTTTAATGTGTGTAGTATAATACACTTTGTTTATTAAATTGTACTTGATATGTTTTTGACAATTGGTTCATCTGAAAGAGTAATAATAAGGGTCCCTGAAAATTATCTGAGTTCAATCAGTTATGTTTGTAACACCCACATTAATAGATGGAGTAATGTTCTAAATTCAATTAGATGTTAGATATCAAACAAGCACGGTAGTTCACAGAATTGTCTAAGTGTAACATACCTTTTCCTCCACAAAGCTTTTAATAAGGATGAGCTTTTGGAACAATCCCAGTCTCTCATCCCAGTGACCTCTGATGGCATCAGTCTGTTTTTCCTCTGTCTTTTCTGCTGAGAATGGTGGCAATTCAGAGATGTAGCCTTCCCAAGACTCCGGATTGAGAGAGATTTCAAGACGCCCTAGAAAATATGTATACTTTCAAAACATTTTCTTTGTCTGATGTTCAAGTGAATATTCATGTAGCAAAACATACTGGATTTCAGAAATAGGCCGGTCATCGTGTATTTAATTAAATTTTTAGATATTTAATGTTTAACTGAAAAGGAAAGTGCTCTTTAATGATCTAGAAGTCAATGTGTGACATCTTTTCACAAGTACATTAACTCTTATCCAAACGAAGACTTGCACTGTTACCTTCTATCTTCTATCTTCACCTAAACTAGGACAAATCCAGATTCTTCGTACCACAGATTGCAGATAAGGCAACTATTAAATTGTTTCCTGTTAAAATGTTTCAATGGGCTCAAGTAGAATTAAAGAATTTTCACCTCCAAACCTAACAATAAAAAAACGTATACCTAGTTTAATGAAAACTGGAGTGCCAACCATTTCCTTTTTGATTCCCTTGAAACATGGCAACCTATCCTCCAGGTCACAACAGGTTTCCCAGAGGAAATCTGTCAGCCAGGGAACATCAGGCTTGTCTGTGTGCTCCTATTCAGAAAAAGAAATGAAAATCTCTGTTGAAAGTTGCTATTCCCATTGCCAGCATTACAAAGACTTTACACTCTTAAAGCAGAAGTAGGATATTTATTTGGCATCTTGAAATCAGGGTTTGGATTCAGAATCTTATATTATAGTATTATTAAAGAAAAGGGAGTGATGAAAATTATGATGAGGAATGTGTGCATTGTTTTCATACAGAAATATATTAAGAAATAATTCAAGCAGGTAGCTGTGTCAGCATGCGTAGGTTGCAAAGGAACAAGTAAAGGTTTATTCCATGCTAAAAAAAGATGAAAAGAAACACAACGTTTCAGCTCTGGACATTTCTTTGGGTGTGATCTTCAAGAGATACACCTGAAGAAGTCTCCATAGCAGAAACTTGTTTCTTTTCTTCTCTAAAGGTTTATTCCTATATTAAGAAATGTTTTGTAAAAAGTGGTTCTCACTGATTTTGCTATCACATGATGATGATATTCAATGGTTTAATATACTGTGATTCTAAATACATTTTATAAATATCCAATTTTGCTCTTCTAGAAGCATAGATGATGATTGCAGTCACAACATTCACCAATATAACATCACAACATAACATCAATTAAAAAATAAAATAATAATCCAGAGTGTCAGTTGGTCAGTGATAAGAAACAAAACATCTTTAATTAACAACGCTACTTGTACTGTATATACTTTCTCAAGTGCTTGCAGGAGCGAATAGTCACTCAAACTGAGCTACAGTATGACTGTTTGATATATAAAAAGTCTAATATAGTGAGCATTCTGGAGTCAGTACATTTGAAAAATGCAGCCATTTCCAAGTGTCTGTTGAACTTGGGGAACTGGCAGTTAATTTAAACAGATGAAGCCAGTGGTATTTTAACTGGCAGCAACATTTTCAGCAGACGGCAATACAGAAGCATTAGCCTGTTATTATATATTATGTATGTTGTAGCATGTTAAGCAAAATCACTCTGGATACTCTCATCCATTGCAGGTCATTTGTAAACCCCATAAGTGACTGTTACGTTTGTCCATTTGAATGTCTTACTTTGACACTCAGTAATGTTAAGTTTCACTCTCTATTCAACTCTGTTCAGCTCTCTATTGAACAATTTATGCTTTGAAGGGCAAGCAACAGTCATAACAGGAATGCTTTAGCTTGTAAACGCTACTAGTCTCCAGCTCTCATATTAATGCAGACATGTACTGTATGTTAGTAGGTACTGTAACTTTCATGGCTGAGCCACATCGGGTCATAAGGCCAGAGCTTATCCTGGTTAACACAGCATTGAGCAGACAAGAATGCAAATGACTCCTCCTGGATCGGACACTAGTCTGCTGCAGAAATTAGCAGCAGGAATGCTGGTACCCATTTATACAACTGGGTGCACTGGGGTAAAGTACCTTGCTCAAGGATACAACAGCAGTGTTTGCAGTGGGAGCATTAACCCAAACCTTTTGGGTCCAAAAACTCACCCATGATGCTGCACTACCCCCAGCCAAACATGCCTGCTAAAGGAATGAATTTCCATTTTTGATTGTTTTCTACCCAAATTATGTAACACGAATGCATGTTGATGAACCATTAAATGCAAATAAATTATTGCAACTTAATTTTAATCATTTTTACTCTGTTTTCAGATTGCTTGGTTGTTACTGAAAAAATGGCTAAGCAAGAATTAAATTAATAGTAATATTTGTGTGAACATAATGGAGTACCCTATAAACAGTTTCTCAGGAAAACCGTACTGTATGTGCATTGTATGCTGTTTTAAACACTGTTTAAACACTATTTAAAGCAGCAAACAATCTCTCCATTTTAATATTAATATATCTGAAGCCTTTCTATTAAAAGACTCTTGAACTAGGCAAAAATGATAATCAGGAAGGGTTTAATTGTGACTATTTTGATCATTGCTGAGGCCAGCAATTTCATAAAATGCCAGAAGGCTGTTTATGTTTCCACCAACACAGCAATACATTATGTAAACAGTTAATTTGCATTGATCTAGTTAAGAACTGCTAATACAGGTATGGACAGATGCCTTGTAGAATTACAGGAATATTAATGCCACGTCATAGGATTTCCAGAATCTTTAGCATTGGATATGATGAGCTGGGCTAATCGTTACAAAGACACCACAAGTCAATGACCATGTTTCTAATCACAGCGGATTATGTGCCTTGCAGTGTATTTAGACACAAAATGGAAAAGGTTGTAGAAAGATGATCGATTTTGTACAAATAGCTGAGTCATTGACCTTAATTCTTTTATTCAGTGTCCTATTCATCATCTTGCCTTCACTGAACCCAATTGAGTTACACTTGTTGGAGACTGAGTTTTGTGTTTTATAGCTTCACTGTGGCTTCTTCTGTACCACTCAAAATTCTGTCAAACAGGTGGCACATCAAACAAATAAAGTATAAGTCCATACAAGCTAAGAAACTCTAAATATAAAGAAAACTACATCCATGCAATACAGTATATATATATTATATATACTCAACTATATATATTGTATGTACAGTATACAAACAAGGATATATAGATAAAGTTTGAATATTTATTTCAACTTTCACACATTCCCGCTGATGTGTTGGTGTCAACTCGTCCAAGAGAACCGCTCACATTGAAGGTGTACATGATTTGGACAGCTGGGTACTGCTTATGAGTAACCTGAACACTGTCTTTAGAAAGGAACCAGCAAATCCATGTTGAATTGTAACATCTGCACTTCATAGGGACTCTGTCACAGATTGGAAAGTTGGAGTGTTGGACATCAGGTGTCTAAGGCTGTATGGATTTGAATTGCCTTGAAGGGGCAGTGACGGCTTGGTGTTGATTTAGTGTGATGCCCTATTCTTTCAGTCCTATTCAGTGCAGAGTTCCTGCACTGATAAAAAAGGGCCTCTTGACATAGATACTAGTTTTCCAAGTTAGTTTGACTGGGCCTGTGGTTAAGAGTAAGGCCTGAGAACAGGAACTGATCAAAACAGTGCATCAGCACATTTGGCCTTCTTTGGGCAGCCACTTCCTGGAGAAACACCAAAATGTCCTCCCCCTGGGGGAAGAGTGAGGAGCTCTTTCTTTCAAAGGGATAGAAAGCACCAGTCAGGACAGAAAAGGATCTTTTTGGAAGAAGAGTCATTGGACAGACCAAAGACTACAGCTTCATCGTCCTCCCTCCCTACCTGACATTGGAGAAATCATGGTTGGGGGAGGGTATGGGGGAGCCATGTTGTTCAGGAAGGCCAGAACTGGAAAACTTGCCTAAGAGCCACTGAAGGACTACACAGAGTTTCATTCCTGTTCCTTAGTGTGGTGGAAGGTAGCATACCAGGTGAATAAACTGCATTACTGTATGTGTAAAAACTAAAAGAAATGGGATATTAGATATGATAATTGTGTGGTCTATGAATGCACTGGTGGTTTTGGGAGATGAAAAGAACCTTTGGCAGGTTAATAAGGGGCCTAGCATCCCATCCTTTATAATTGATAAGTGGTATAACTCCACCTAGTTCTCATTTACAGTAACCCAGCAGTATCTTTTCAAAACTTGTTATAACAAAAAACTTTGAAATAATATAGAACAATAATACTGTATGTTTGCTCTTAAGGAAGATTTTACAACCACTGTATTTATGTTATTCAGCATTTCTCTTTCGAGAAAAAAAATAAATTAGTTTTGTGCTGTGACTAAGGTAACCTCGTAGCTGAGGTCTTCTGTAATCTTGTTTGGAACTGACAGATGTCAGTGACCTTTCCTTAGTAATCTGTACAGCAAATGATAATGTGAATCCTGGCCTGCTCCTGAATATCAAATAACACAGGAGACTCCAGTCTAGAATTTATTTTCTGCTGAACAAAATGCACAGCCTACACTGTTGCTGTACTAGAGGGCAAATATCTTTGCTTTGCGTTCTACAAAATATAAAATATTTAAAAGAAAATAATAATTTATTCACTAATGTTTAGCTCGGCTGTTTTATACGTGTTTTTCATTTCACACAAGGGAAGAACACTTGTGTTTTAAACAAGAAGTATATGTATTATCACAAGTGTTTTTGATTAAGAAAGTGAAGAATCTATTAAACTTAAGATTCCATGCTGTGTTCTTTTAAAAACATTCTTTAAAAACACCATTTGCTTTCCGGTGATAAAAGCATTATGGCAACCTGTATTGGAATGTGGTGAGTGAGTAATCATCATCAAATACCATTTAAATTAAATTCAGTGAACAAAGAAAAGAAAGTCATAATAGAAGGAGTGTCATAAAAACGTTTGAATATTTTAGTTCTGATTTTGCACTTAGTTAAACTAGAAGATAATTCTATTATTTACAGTAATTTAACTTTCAAAACAATATTCCAATTATTGAAACTATATACTCTACAGTATATAAAGAGGGAGATCTGTCAGCAAGTAAAGGCATTTGCTCAGCATAGAGGCTGGAACCTATATTTCAGAGATCAGTTGTTCACATTTAAGCACCGTCCTTAGCCAGCTGTGACTGAAGCTCTCAGGGGATAGTGCACAACTGTCTGAGCATCACTAGGATAGAGTGAATGCATTGCAACCCAGAATTTCCTTAGCCTGACACACAACAGTAGCTCCTGTGGTTTGACAGTTGAGCTTGCACTGTTCTCTCTTCTTCTGTCTCACAGATGCCTTAACTGTGTTAATATTTTGGGCCTGTAGTGAGAGCTGTGGCAGATGGCAGATAACCGATGTAAATCTCAAAGGATGCCTTTAAGTCAGCTTGATTTCTCCTCTGATACAGCAGTGCTCATACAGGTGGGTCAAACTTAATAGCATTTGGTGATTATAAATTAGGCTGTGGGAAAAAAAAAAAATTCAAAATTTAAGAAAAATAATAAGCAGTGCCTTTCCAGGGCATTTTACATTAAAAATGAATTAAGCTATAATTTTAATCAAGAGCTTAAATATTCTCATCAGTTATTTTATCAGCAATATTTTTGTACTACTATACTAAAAAGACCAGATTAAGTGTCAACTGAAGAGCACAGCTACTAAATATTTAATTGGAGCAAAGATGCATGCAGAGCTATACAGTTCACATATTACCAGCTTGAGTCCAGGATCAGCCTTCAGCAATCTGTTACTAGGTATGAGTAGGTCAAGTTATCTTTGTTTTTCCACTTAATTTATCCAATACTGCCCACATGCATATGAACCTGCTGTGTTATTTTGATAAGTTTCCATCCTGGTAAGTGACTACTGTACAGTATGTACATAGCTGTAACTATGGAAACTATGGTAACTATAAACCCCACAGGGTCACAGGGTGAATGATCTGACAGTTACATGCTAATGTAAGCAAAGATTAACTACAGTAAGTTTTGTGTCCCTAGAGCCTACCTAATACATTAATCTATGCAGTACTTGGGAAAAAAATAAAAAGAACACATTTTCCTTTAAAAAATATAGTCCAAAAATGTGCCACTGCTTACAAAAAATAATTCCTTAATGAAAAATAACAATTCCTTTAAGAATGACATGCACCTGCAGCAATATCATCACACATCAGGAATTACCAGACCACAGCCTGGTTTATATCAAATTTCGAAACCAGATATTGGTGACTTTCTCTTTGGGTAGATGCAAGCCGGCTCTGGCAAAAAGAAACCTTATATCAAGTCAGACACAGTGTTTTAAGATGGTATTTGGAAGGCTACTTTAATTTTTGTCCACACTTTCACTAGCGCATCTACAATGAGTGAGCTGCTCATCGTAATGAGAGTTTCAGCGGGACTAAAGACTCAAGACCGCCCCTAAATTGAATGCCACGGCCACAGGATCATGGGGATCGGGATGGTTTAGGACAGTCAATCGGACCTAGCCAGCATGTGTTTGGCAGATGGGAAGAACACACTTTAACAACACTTTGAAAACCAACGTGAACACAGGGAGAACCTGCAAGCTCCATGCATGAACATGCATGTTGACACCCAAGGGCAAAATCAAACACAGGAGTCTACAGTTGTGAAGCAGAACTAACTGCAAAGCCACCATGCTCACCAGGGTTCATGAATTCACTTTTAGAAACTTTTGCAATTGTCAAAGTGGCCATCTCAGATAATTAACTAATTGTGAAACACTTATGTTTAAAGTCACCTGTCCTTACCTTATCAATCCCCGCAGACCCTCTCAAGAAGAAATTCCATTCAGCATCGGAGATCTCTCCTTTCTGACGCATGATCTCAATGCAGAGCATGAAGCTGTAGATGAGTTTGTGTTGCTCAAACAGTCCTCGGGAAATGTTGGTGTACATGGTGAGGAGAGTCTGCTCCAGTAATATTGTCAATCGCTCCCCTAGATCATTACTTTTCTCAGATGTTTCTATTGTCATGTTAAATAGCTGCCATAAGAAAAAAAATATTCAAATGATGAAAGCTAAACTTACATGATAATAAGCAGTTGAGTACAAGATGACAACATTACAGACTGTAATTGTTTAACTGTAAAGTCAACAAATATTTAGTGAAGAATGAAGATGCAAAACCCACAGGGAAATGAAAACATTTGTACAGTATACACTGACAGGTGACCTGCAATTGCCAGTAAGAACTAAATAAATGGTGGGATATTACTCCAATTATGCAAGGTTTCTAGTCTTGACCAATGATTCCCAATAAAGGGCAAGACTGAAACGCATTAACTACTCATTCTCAAAGCCAACTTTACCATCACTATTAATCCTCTTAACTGAATATGTATAATGAACGGTTATGGAAATTATGAAAACAGACATTGCTGTTCATGGTTAAATAGATTCATAGTACCAAAGCACCAACTGAATTTTTTCTGACAAAATAAAGAATCAGAAGCATTAGGAATGACATTAAAATTTCATACCGTAAGCCTCGAGCATTTCTAACTAAACTGTTTAGTGCTGGTGGACAACAGAAAGGGATTTCACACAGCTGGAATTACACTCCATAACCCTCTTTACCCTCTTCAATATGATGCTTGAAGTTGTAGTCAACAGTAAATAAATGTGCTGTCTCCTGTGAGACACTTGTAAGATGCTGTCAGATCAGTACGGTAAAAAGACACACCTGTTTGAAGTATTTCAAGGAGAACTGATACATGGGGTCAATTTCAGACAGACTGGCAATAACAAAGTACATGACGGAGCCACGGGTGGCGACAGGTCGGTACTTTTCACGAGCAGCGTTGATCTTCACTTCTGTGGCCTCTGCTTCATCCAGTCTAGTCTTAATCGCTGCTGACGTGACCTGAATGACAGAAATTCAAAGGATCGTTTTCAATGCAAAACCTGCAAGTGAGTGGAAATACAAAGACCAAAAATGGCACAATACAATGCTTTCACTCGGATTTAGCGGGAAATTTTGTTGTGTTTTTTTTACTGTGGTGTTTCATAGCCCAGCTTGTCATTGTGCTTTTCTTGAAGCATCTTTTCTAACAAGCTTAAGTAGAACAGCTACCTGCAGGAAAAAGATAATTCACAATGGCATTTTCTTTTAGTTTATAGCAAAAATGATATGAACACGCAATAAAGTTTTATCAGCCATCCTTCCTCAATCTAAAAAAAACAGCACGGATTTGAGAGTTTTATCATATCCCTCTACAGCACTGCCAATACAGGGTTACTCTTCTTTTACTTGATATAATCTTTTAAACACATTTTGACTCTTGTAGACATAAACTAATTGATTTAATCTGTGAATATTTGCTTTGGAACCCTAGATAAAAATTGGTTGAACAATGCTGAACATATTATAAGTCACCATTAAATGGAGTAGGTAATTGCTTTTAAGGAATGGTTGCCTGTGATAGCCATAGATCATAAATATATAGCATAATTGTGAAATTTTTAGAGTATTCATTCTGAAACATGTCTGAAAGTCATGTTATCTCTAATCATTATAGAATATAATTTGTTAGGCTAGTTGCAGTGTGTAAAATCAAAGTTTGAATACAGTACAAGGAGAATATGAATAGATACAAAATATTTTTATGAAAAATATTTTTAGACTTAACAATTATGCTATCACCTGTCTCATCCTTCTAGCTAATTAATCAATTTGGTTAAACTGTCACGGAGTTGCTGTCTATATAAAATCTAATAGATTTCTCACATGTCACAGTCAAAAATGTCATAGAGAGTTACAGCTTTAAGCAAAATACACAGAAAATTTTCAAGTTCTAAAAGGTCAGTGGTATTCAGAAAGGCAAGGCTTGCTACTGGCCAAATGAGTACTGAACACAGGTGCAGAAAGACGAAGTGCTGTGGAATGAAGGAAATTGAGGAAAATGAAAAAAGACAATGCCATATACTGTAGCTTCCACATATTTTTTTTAAATCAAGCATAGATATAAAACCAAAGAGATGTGACCAAATTAGTAATAGCCAACAACATCAACCATATTTAAACTGTTAGACTAGAATGAAGGGAAAGCCCTGCAATTGATCTGCCTGTTGTAACAACATTATTAGAACAGACAAGGTGATGTCCTAGACAGAGATGAATGCAATTTGCTCAGTGAAATGAAAGATGTGACAGACAATGCATAAGAGAAAAAAGAAGTAGCAACATCACAAATCAAATAAAGAAGAAATGTGGCTCTTGTGATGAATAATACACAGACAAATGAACAGCCCACTTCACTTACAGTAACTGTTACATGTCTATTCAGACTGAGGGACGGGGGCCTGTGGAGTTCGATCAGCATTATGTTAAATGCTGTATATCTTATGAAAAAAAATGTCAACAAACCCCACTAAAAGGAGCTGCTAAAAGAAATGGATGTTATCAGTTTAAAAAAAAAACAATGAATTGCTCTGTAAATGACCTTTGACTCCTGCAGAGTTTTAATGAGCTCCTCGTTGTCCAGAATGTTACCCTCGGAAGTGAATAGGAGTTTTAGGATTCTGTCTTCAATTGCCTTCAGCTGATTCTTATCTGCATTTATTCTGACAATGAGCTGGTTTCTTTGCTCTTCCAGATCTGGTCTCTCCAGCCTCACCACATCACTGCATAAAAATGAAAGATGTGTAAGTACATATACAGTATAAGATCTACTGTATATACTACACAAATATGGGTACAGTATACAATACATGTACTGTATATGGTGCATATGTAAATGTATTATGAACATATTACTGTCATTACAATTATAACACCTTTCTTTACAAGACTGGTCTAGGAACTTTTTTGATGGTTTATTGAAATTTTCTGGATTATTTGATGGTTAGAACTACAGTAACACTGGATTGTTAAACACTGAAAACAAATCAAACTAAAAAAAACTACTGAGATATCTGAAGCAAGGCAACACATTATTGTATGCAGTAGAATTTCTACAATAAAATATTTAAATTGTTGTATTTGGTAAAATTATTACTAAAATGATCATTTAAAAATAGTAGGAATGAAATAGTATAAGTATATCAAAAGCACTTCTTGACTTTCTAACCAACAAAGTATATGCAAATACACAATACCCTTGAAACAGTTGTTTTAATTTTCATTTCCTGTAATCTCTCCTATAAATTTCACACCATCAGCTTTACAGATACAATCTCTGTATATCAGAATCATTCTTCATTTGGCATGCTGCAGGTTTCACCACCTGGAAGAGCTGCATATCTCTCGCTTCACGTTTGTTAAAACTGGAAAATCCTATCAGTCTGCTGTGCTGAAAGCCAAGAGCACCTTGACCAACTAAAGCCCTTCCAATGCGATGGCACTTAGTCAAAATTCACTGAGGCGTCTTTCAAAAGCAAAAAAGTATTTGCCTTCCCCTGTATACATACAGACACACAATAAAAGTCTAGGTTTTACATCTATAGCTCATTAGGGACATTATATCATTTTAAATAACAGACAACATTCTTGGTTACTTGAACACTAATGCTCCTCATGATAACTAAAATCATGCTTGATGATTATATAAGAATACCACATTTTCAATGTTTCATATTTGTGGTAATTAAGAGTATGTAAAAACAGTCACATGGTCTCTTTGCATCATGCATCCATTCTGAATTTTGTCTGGAGTCAAAAGATCAGAACAACTACAAATGAGCTACTCAGCTCAACCTGGTCACTAGGTTCTGTTTTAGTCACATAACCAGTACTGGTCATACTGAGAAAAACTCCATCCCCCAGACAGGGACAATTAAGAGTATCCAACCAATCCAAACCTTCATTCAGCCAGCAATGTAAAGTAGTGGTGAGGGCTCTGGGCTTTGGAAGGTCGTGGGCCTGAATCCGATTGGATGCTGCTGTTGTAGCATAGAGCAAGGTTCCTCACTCATATTACCCGCAATAAAAGTCCCACATTGTAAATGAACACCCTTCATGTCATTGTAAATGTGAATTCAGTTGACTTACCGGGTTAAATAAGAGATTGGATTTAAAAAATGCACCCATACAAAATACCCATACAAACAGTGACAGAACATGCAAACAGACCAGACAGACCCCGGAACACTAACTGCCACAATACCAAGCCATATCAGTCACCTGACTATACACACTCAGCAAAATATACAGAGCCAACAGCACACCTTGCTCTTCTGCAGCATATTGCTGGTCACTTGAGATAATAAAAGCGATATTCATACTGCACGTACCTCAGCAGCTGATCCTCCAGCCCTGATTTAGTTACAGTGAAGTTGATAATTGTAACTTTAATACACACCTGGAAGGGAAAAACTCCAATTAAAAACAACAACAAAAAAAAATACTGTACAAGCAAAGGCCCTTGGCATGCACTACAGTGAAATTTATATTGAATCCAGAGTATTTTGCTAAAAACGTAATACTGTATATGTGACTATTTTAATATTTGGAATGGAAAACATTACAAAGGATACAGCGCTTTGAAAAAGTATTCAGACTCAGTTTTCACATTGTGTGGCTTTCAGTCATGACCCTCTGAATTAGTAATAGATAGCCAAAGTGCAGGATGTTTATTATATACACAACCTTCTCAACACATTCAAAGAAGAAACAAAAATAATGAAGTAAATACAGTAGGTTATTATTTTGAACAGCAAATGAAAAAGTCATGATTGCAGAAGTACTGTAGTTTACTCCAAGTCTCATTAGCTATTTGTCTCGAATTGCCCAGATCTGACAATCTAGAGGGATCAATGAGTATAAAGGATGTGAGATATCCAATGGTAAAGAATAAACATTTTTTCGGAATGGAAAAACACAATTTAAATTCTGATTAAGATACTAGGGCTTCTGTTATTTTCTGTAATTGTGTAAAGCTGAAGAACATTCCAAGCATTCACAGGAATATGATGTTTAAAATGGCAGGCAGTCAGGTATTTGATTAATATTAGTCATTAGGAATACCAAAACCATGTTTTAGGGCAGCCAACTGTGAACTATGATGCTGGTATAATCAGGGTGTCACTTTTTTTTTCATTTTTACTGCTTTTCGTTTCTGTTCTAGCCACTCTGCATATATTACAGAAATAAATGAAATCCTCAGAACTGGCACGTCTGATGTCATTATTTTATCTGCAAGATGTTCTTCTGTAGCTAGTCCTACTGTGAAGATCTAAACACATTTGCAAGTTTAATTGTTTGTTATTCTTCTTTTGTGTAGGAAGTTCATAGCAAAAAACATTAATGAAAATATATGCCCTGCTCTATTAATGTAACACGGTTCCATTAATGCAGTCATTATAACAGCATTGAATTTACAGACTTTTTTATTATCATTAGTTGTTGTTTTGTTGACAAGGGTAGCAGTGCTGGTGGAAGCACCAATACAAAATGAAAGGTATTTCACGATGACTGTCTTGTACCTCTGGAAGGTAATGAGGGTTGGCCATTTTCGTGGTCATGTAGAATCTGAAGTTTTTATCATAGTCAATATCAGAATCTCCAAGTCGAATGAGTGTTCTTCCTCCAGTAACAAAGGTTTGCTTCAGTAAAATTGGTTCCAAAGCAGGATCTAAGGTCTCTTTCAGCTGAAAGAAAAAAAATTAAGACTTTAATTAAATAATGAATTATTAATAATTAAATCAATTTGTATAATGACCCAGATTACTGAAAGTATTATGCGATGAGTACTGTGATATAATGCATAGAATTGTACAATGATTACTCTGTTGTAGATTTCAAGGAGCACTAATCTAAAAATGAACTGTAGGTTTCAAACATCTGAAACGTTTAGTTTTGAAAAGATGTCATTGTCATTAACAGTTTATCAAACACTAAATAGTAATGTGAAAAATCAATTCTGTTTAAATACCATGAAACATATAGAAAGACACTTCACTAGATTTTTTTTCAGTAAAATTCCTAGCTGTACAAATGGGAGCCTATGCAAAATAATGGGAGCCTCAACTAAATAAATCCATACAGTATATAAAAAGGCACGATGCTAATGAGAATAATTCAGGTTTAAAAACAAGTATATACCTAAGAAAGCAACATTACCTACAGGCTGGTATTGTCATAATAGAAATTAATAAGTACTGTACCTCTTCCAGCAAGACAGGCATGCCTAATCGAATAGCATTTTCCAAGGTGCGCAGAAAACCAGAATCGGTTAGCTTAATAACTTTCAATCCATTTTTTGTTTCCTTGGTTCTTATCCAGCGGTTTGCCTGGAAAATGTGACACAATACTCTTTTTAAATTACAATAGATCATTACATTTTCCAGGGTTTCAACATTATCGGCAATAGCCCAGTTCATGAATGAATGAAGATGCATTGCTAATAGCAGCTCTTAACCTCTTAAAGGTTGGCATGCTTGACAAATAATGACTGGAACATCGGTCCTTCTTTAATAAAATAACTTTTCTAAAAGAAGATATACTATATTTTACACTTCTGGCACCTTTTGAGTACTGGTATAGTGACAATAGGAAACCCCAATAATCTGATTCTGGGAATCAGATTTTCTGGAAGTGCCAACCCTTCAAAAAATTAATGTAGGATTCTTGAAGGAACATTTGCAGTATTTGTATGAATTACTTGTAATATTCGTCTTTCATTTTTTTATGGATGTCGGGATTTTCACTGACCACTTGTCAGTCAGCATTAACCATAGTTATTCTAATTTGCTATGATAGCATATCAAATTATGAGTATTTTTATTTATGTTTTAAGCTTGAAAACAGATGTTTCTATACTGTGAATAACTATAGTTCTAAACAAAATATTGCAGCATCTGTAGTGAGTGCACCTGCTTGACTGTGCAAGCAAGGAGTATAGATTAATTATCTTTTGCAAGAGTGTAGGTGGAAAAACATATGCTATAAGATACATTTTATTAATTTAAAAAATTAAACAAAATTTAGAAAATTATTATAACTTGAAAAGAGAAAAGAAGACAAAACAACAAAAACAGCACACCAAGTTAGCATTAATAATAATATCACTTTATTAACCCTTTACAATTTCTTGCATTAGGAAGTTGTCTTTTCACATACCCCAGCTTGCTCTCCATGAGACACACAGACAGGGAGAGAGCCTGGGGTCAGAGCACAGGGTCTGCCATTGTACAGTGCCCCTGGAGCAGTTGGGGTTAAGGGCCTTGCTCAGGGGCCCAACGGAGTAGGATTCCTCTGCCAGCTGCAGGATTTGAACCGGCAACCTTTCAGCCATAGGCACAGATCCTTAGCCACAGAGCCATCACTCCATTAGAAGAAGAGCAACGGACTAATACTACTCTCGAAATTTTAAACTTATCAACAGCACCATTTCTAATTTAAAAAAAAGACTGATATGTATCCAGAGTTGAGTGATAGAAAATAAGTATATTTTATAAAGTATTATATAAATAGTATTTTATAAAATATAGTTTTGATGGAAACACAACAATGGATAAAAACACAGTTGCTTACTGTATCTTTAATAGTTGAGATTCTGTTATGTTTTGCTAGATTTTATATTTGAGATATACAGTACAGGTACATGTATTTTTTCTAGAGTTTCACTATTACATATCCTTATACAGGATGTTTTTTTTTAAAAATCTTTCAATGTCACTAATGATAACCTGTGTAACAGTTATCTATATTCCTGTAAGAGGAATATAGATGCTAATTTAAAGTACCAAGTATTGAATATAGATGCTAATGAACAAAAGTACCCACTTCAATGTTACAAACAATATCCACAATGCCCAATGGGCATGACTGCCATCATTGTCTGCGATTCAGAACAAAGAACCAAAACTTCCAGTGATGCAAAACTGGCCCTATTACATTGCAAATGCTTTAGACCAAGCACATTTTGATGCAATATGAATTTTAATTATTTTCATGAAACCGACACATATAAGACAATGTGTTTTTTTATGTACTTTATCTAAGCATTGCAAAGAAAGTGCAACCTGCCAACCAACCAATTATACTCATCAGTTTTGCACAACTGTTTCATTATTTACATTGATGGTTATTTTATTGTAAATCATACCTAAAAGAAAAGTTTTGGCAGGACTCAGATTTTTGAAGGTCTTGATGCACCATAGTCTGTGCCATCGCCTGAAGAGCTGAATGAATGCAATTTAATTGAATTCAACATATTGACTTCGAAACAGTTTTGCCGACAAATAATGTACTATTTACTTAGTAACTCAGCAGGTACTGTAGATCACATTTCGAACATTTCTGTGAAATGTCTGTTGCACATCCTGTACTTATTCATTCTCTGAATCTCATCAAGAAACTTTTCAATGACAGTAACATCAGTGCCCATGTTTATTACCCATCTGTTGGCTAGCTAGTTGATAATCCCATGGAAAAGGAAGCTGTTTGACTTTCTACTGAACCAGTCCTCTGTTTTGTGTACGACCACTATGTTCTGAACAACCAAATGCTCAACAGTGAGGCATTGTTTAAAATCTTTAAGTTCGTTCAAAAAGACAAAAAAATGGGCTAACGTTATTAGGAGACAATGTTTCTCATTCACTTACAAGGACTAGTGAGCAGAGAGGACTGCTTTTATGTTATAATTCGTAAATCAATCGGGTTGAGGCTAGCGATTTCTTGTCTGCCAGTGACAACATGGCAACAATACAGTACTTTCACAAAGGTCCCGATTTTACACTTAAGTCGAAATTTGTAAAATGTTGCAGTACCATCAATTAATGTATTTGGTTCCCCAGATTTAATACCCAGTGTGAGAAATTGGGACTACAGTTCCCCTTTAAACTAAAAAAGGTGACTTTAGGCCATTAGATGGTGCCCAATTATCACAGTAGAACTTTTAAGATGTAAACTAAATGTTTTCAACTAGGTTGTTTAAAACTCAACAAGAGAAGATTGTTTACTAAGTAATGATTAACAATTCCTATACTCATTCCTTTGTACGTTCAAATGCACAAATGTCCTCTACTTCTCCCTCATTTTTGGAGTACTAAACCTTTAGCACTGTTGGGTTTTGCTTCATTATTGTTTAGATACTAATGGAGCCTGCATCAGAAATAAGGTCATTGTTCACCTTCAGGTCATTTGCTTGCCTTATGTGCACTGTGTAGCACACATCCAATCAGCACTGCCAGTTACAATTTCCCCACTCTGCTTTGACCATTTGCATTCCATGGACTCCCACTAGCCAGTGCTATCTTTCCAATTCTCCAGACCTTCAGATCTGATGGATGTGTCAGATGTGACAGTGTGCATGACTTCCACAGCCAGTTTCTTAGGGAACCCACGAATGTATCCTTCATCAGCGTGTCACCCCTGCAACGTCCTGTAAACCTTTTCGTATTCTGCATCTACAGCTTAAACATTCAATCATAAAAATGGAATAAAAGCAAACTAAACTATGCTTCAGTGGGCACGCATTTTGACAGCTTTTTTTTATTGTCATTTCATTTTCAGTCGAGGTTAGGCATCCATCATGAAAGCACATCAAGTTCTGCCACTCCTGACTCCAAAGGTCCTGTGTTGGAACATGTGGGTTACAAGGGTCACAGACTGAAATGAATGGCCTGATCCATCCACCTTACCAACTGAAATCATATCCAATACTGCAATTTCTAGCCTATCCCAAATCAAAAGTAATATAATGTAAAATTAAACTATCCATTCATTTTCTAATTGTTTCCTCTAGTGTAACACAGCGCAGTCATATTTTGGCCAATTTTCCCAAAACCAATTAACCTACCACATACTGTAGGTGTTTGGAATGTGGAGGCTAACCACTGCACCACAGTGCCACCCTACACTACTATACACCACTTAATGTAGTGGAGCTAGTTTGGATAAGGTGATGTCATCGCCTTCCCTGCGCGTAGCAGGGACCTCAGCTGCCAAGGATGGGGGAGGTCTCCTTTAGCTCATGTGGCTGGCTCCCTGTTGCGTTTCTCCAGGGACCCGGGTTCGTGCCCCAGGTGTTGCGGGACGAAACTGGCGGGGTTGAGCGGCGGAGAGCACGAGCCCGCGCGGAACAACGACAGTCACATTAGCACTTAACAAATCTAAGTAGAGGCTTTTATGAGTGGATTCAGTATGTTTTCCCAAATGCAGGAAAAGGTTTAAATATTTTACTCTCAATATTTATCACTTACAACAAGAAAAAAAGCTAAAACTGTGGGGGAATTACTTAGTGATTTCCCCTAAATTTTGTAAACAACAAGCATTCTCCCAAGACTGTGGCTTTGACCTGCTGAAGAAGACCCATGTGTTTCTGTTTCACATATCTTAACCATAAAAGAAATAAACAGGTTCCACAAATCTGCAAACCTTTTATCTGTGTCTACTGAGATTTTCTGTCAAGCGCAGATAGCAGTGCATCGTATTTAGTTATGTTTTAACATACAAGTTGATCCAAGGATACTCTTGGTAATGTTGAATGCAATAACTGAAAAGGGACTACTTGCAGCGTGTGATAACTGCAGCTTTCAGAGCCTAAGATGTATGTTTCATTCTAATTGATTACAAAGCATTCAGAATTCCCATTACTATCAGTGAGAAATCCACTTTATTTGACAACAGGGGTTTCTCTAATGTCACAAGCACTAATGGTTTATATGCCGTCTAAGAATGGAATGCCTTTGTAGAAACAAATGATGAATTGGGTATCTCGGAAACATCTGCCACACACTTAAAACAAAACAATACGGGTCCCAGCTAATTAGCATAGAAAGAGGTTGGTGACTCAAGAAAAGGCCATAAGATGGTAATTCATTATAAAGGCCCTTAGTTCTCATTTAAAACAACAAAGAAAAAAATGACAATGTGCTTTTTTTACTAAAAACATTATCTTAAACACAACATATAACGTTAATGTTTTTACAGCTTCTGAGCAGGGCCACACTGATGTCCATGTTAATTACCTGGTCTTGTGGATCAATCATCAATGGCCACCGACGCCCACGGGTTACTAGGATTCCATTCTCTGTGGAAACAGTATCTCTGGGCAGGCCATCAGTATTCCACTGGCGGATTTCATAGGGATCACCTAATATGTTTATAAGGCTGAAGTTTGGGCTTATTGGAATGCCAAGCTCCTGGCATCGTGTAATCCATCTATCTATGAGCTATGGAGGGAAAAAGAAAAAGAAATACACAATTCCTAAACAATTGCATTACTTAAAGGGACAGATAAAACTTTATGTTTTGAAATGTATCTAATCATTACATATGTTTAACTTTAGGCATTCAAAACACACATTTAGCATAATTCTTTGTAAAAAGAATTATGCTAAATGTCAGCATTAATCAGTCTGTCACTATGTATCATGTGAGTCTGTTAAGACACAGAACTCTTTTGGTTCAAGAATAACTCATAATGGAATTAAATCTCGTGGTTCAGTTCCATTTAAACCCATTGTAGCAGCAAGCTTTATTGATCAGCCTCACAAAGAAGGGTTGCTGTGAAATTCCAGTGAGAAGCCTCTGTGATGTGATCCACAGAATGACCTAGTGGTCTCTGTTTGTGGGAAAGTAAAAGAGGTAAATGTGTCCTGTGGGCGAGGATCTTTCCCAGGACAGTCCAGATCCAGTATCAATACTCCCTAAAATGGATGTCCTCTGCTGGCCTGGATGTCTAGCAGAGGGGCATAGGCACATCTGGATATAATCCTTAAAGTCACGGGGCATGGTCAATCATCCAAAAACATAACCAAGCAATCAGGGACCTGCAGGGTGTGGTGACCCACTTCACCTGTTGACTTTTTGACCAATCACCAACCATATTTTCCCCAGTTAAAAAACGGTGCATATCACCTCTCCCTCTGCTTCTCTCCACTGAACTAACTTTGCTGACATCAGAATCTCATGCCTGCCACGCTTGCTGTCTAAACTTCAGGACTTTTTTCCCCAAAGTTAGAGAGTGAGCCCGTACGTAAAGAGAGAATTTTGCTTGAAGTCTAGCCTCAGTAGGACCTCACGACCAGCTAGCTACCACCGTGCATTCGCTTGATCACTGGAGCAATACAGTTGGGACTTTCGTCACCATGCCAAGTAATTAGAATCAATCAACAATAACCACAAACTGAGTTTCTCCCCTCTTTTATGTATCTCTTCTTTATACTGTACCCTCTAAAGCTAGATAATTTGCATGTAACAAATCGTGTTCTGTATCCAAGCAGATTCTCAAGTATTTACCCTTAATGCTTTTACAGTATGTACACATTGTTTATGTATCAATAAATGTAGTATGTGTGTTGTGAATTCCTGTGAAGACTCTTGGTTACTTTGTTGACTGATTGCTAACAGCTTCACATGCGATTTACCGTTACAACTAAACATTATGCCAATAAATTCATACAAACCCCTACACCACACACACCATTTCCAGTTCTTTGTGAACCTCTCAGCTAAATATTCTCTGCTCCCCCTACAAACTGTATTCTTTTCTCTGTTTCCGTTCACAATAATACATACCAGCTGCCTATAATGAGATGTAAAAGCTCCATAATATGCGACACAGGCAGCAGCGATGAAGACATTTCCAATCACATTAAAGATTTCTTCTTCAAACTGAGTAATGCTTTCCTGCCAGCGAACCTGCTCGTCTTCTAATGCTGCTGTGAGCTTTCCAGCTCGGTTTAGCCGTGCCTCTGTCAGGGCCATTGTTTTAGCTGAAAAAAAAAGATGTGTCTTTAATGTGAATTGCCTAATTATACTGTCAGTCTCATATAACAATTTACCAAAATAAATCTAACGATGAATAATTATTAAATAACAATGTATAATAATTTAGGCAGTTATACATTATATACTATATTATATACATTACATTATATACCCCAGGATTATCCCCTATCTGAAATACTGCACTGTAGCTGACCATGGATCAATTTGTCTCATCTGCACTGAACTAGAATATATGAAGTCCATATACTATGAAAGAAGTTGTGTTTCTTTTTTGAAGGAGGCCAAAGCTGTGCACTTTCTCAGTTACCCAGGGTCTCTTTTTCTGCAATACTGCAATCAAACTGATCTTGCAGCACTTTAATCTGATCTTCTACTTTCTTCAGCTTCTCTTGCTTTTCATGGAGAGTTGCCATTGTCACATCCAGTTCTGCCTGGTAGCCAAAATGAACAACAAATGCATAAGAGTGTGGAAATGCTTTTATGTTATTATATATAAGTATATTGCATTACATTAATACCTATATATTTTAACAGTGCAAAGTATTGCAGCAAAACACTACATTCACAGTCATTTGTAGAGCACTTCTGAGACTAATCAGAGCACAAATAGATCAACTGATATCTGGAAGGCCAAAGAAATTGGAAGATAAAATCAAAAATTCAAATAAAATCAAAATTGTATTTAATTTATCTTTACTAAATATAATCTTTTATGGAATTGAATTGGATATCAATCACCAGACATTAGAGAAACAGTTACTGTACCTGTGCTCCAGCAAGTTTCTGCCTTTTTGGCTCCACTTCTTTGACTACCTTTGAATATAAGTCCATAGCCCTCACCCACATGCACATTGACTTGCAGGCCTTTGACACCTTCTCCACTTTATCAGGAACAAAGTCTGGGTTGTTTATATATTTTTGGAGCTTCTGTAAAATCTGTGGCTTGATGTTGTCTTTATCATAGTCTGTAAGCCTCCTTAGGAAATTGGAATCTCCCAAGACTTGCTTGGCACTTGCCCAGTCAGGCCTGTAGGAAACACAAAATCTGTTTAGAAAATAAGAATTCATGCTGTGCGTATTCCAAACACCTGGGGAGCATGTCAATACCCTACTTTGTCTAAACGATATAAGTTAAATTCCAGTCAACAACCTCCATGAGAATTCTCACACTATACTGCCACAAGACACACTTCGATAATGTGCCAGTACGATTTTCAATGTTTCACATTCACTGCCAACAGGCTTATAACTCTAAGCCATGCTGGAGTCAGAATCAATTTGTTATTTCCTCTTCTTTATGAACAAGCAGGAACAGTAGCTATTTTGTGTGACAATAATTCATTAGTGCAAGCAGATGGCATCTAGAGTCATAAAGTATTAGCGCTGTAAAGTGACAAGGGCTCCATTTGATTATTTGTGTCAACGGGATTGCAAGAGGAACGCCACAATCAGGACAATAACTACAGTATGCAGCACAACAGTTGTCAACATCCTCAATTGCATTAACAAAGTCAGCACCATGGACTTCTTCGCATTTAGCAATGAAACACAAATAAAGGGGCACAAATAGAAACTAAGAATAAGGTGCTTTCAAAATAGAGAACAGAAGGAATTGTTCTATACTTGGGTGGTGAGAGTGTGGAACAAGCTACCCATCCACATTGTCAACACTAATACCATTGCTTTTTTTCAAGAAATGGCTGGATGAGATCCTCAAATCACTTACTGTAGCTACTAAAGTCTAAACAAACTGAATGCTCCCCTGTCCTTTGCATAGTTTCTCTTAAATAGGATTGAGCTGTATAAAATTGTTGTTCCTAACAATAACACAAAGTACTGAAAGGTTACTTCCTTCCTGCATTCCTGTACCTGAGGGAAACAACCATAGAGACTACACCGTATTAACAAATTATTGACACAATAAAACCAGAGTAAATCACCAGCCCATACCTTCCCTGTAACTTTTTAAAATGCTATTCTATGATGACAAAACATCATAGATTCTCATTGTATTCCATTTATTATTTCAAACAAGCTACAATATTACATAGTTCCTTTGTAGCTTTAATCATTGCACCACATACGGTATATGGATATTCTGATCTACGGGCCTCGCAAGGTAAGCTACAGTATGAAAACGATAGCTGTGCTTTGTCGAAACATGAGTAAACTTTTTGATTAGACCAGGAATTGTACATAGCTATAACCACTCCTAACGTCGAAGATTTTTTAAAAAAACAATAAATGATCATTCTTGTTGCTCACTCACAGCGTACTTTCATATGTGTACAAGTTATTGTAAATGAGTATATTGCTGAATGGAGCTGTGTATGTATACAAATTGCAAAGATACAAGTGATGGTTAGTTCCACGCTGCAAAGTAAAAAGAAGAAAAAACAGCAATATTATGTAGATCCCTCATAAGATGCTAGGGGAGAGGGAGAGTTTTGGGATGTGATAATGAAGAATATTTTAGTGGAAGTGTGGAAGGCTCTGATTCTGTAACATAAAGGACAGATTATAAAGACAGGCAATTGGTAGGTGTTGGGGGACTGTGTTAAGTAAATTTAAGAACAGAAAGACATTACTGTAATCCAGCAAATGTATTGATCTATTTCCCTTTCTCTCCACATTTTCAAGGGTGCAGACATCATAACTGTATGATGGCTCTTGTGATTTAAAATAAAAATCTTCAATATTAATTTACTTTTTTCTAAAAGTGAAACATCAGTTAAATTCTCAAAACTTTCACATAAAGAGTGATGCAGAAAATGAAATATACTTAAACATCCCTGACAACAAGTCATATTTTCATGGAAATATTCTTCATACACATGACGAGTAAGTGAGGAAATACAAATCGCATTACTGTTAGAAAACAGCCCACACAAAAAAATAATTAGATGAATCCTTGATGTGACATTTTATAATAGGCATATACAACAATCCTGGAAAAAAACAACAGGTCATGAGCTCTCTGAAATTTATTTCAAGTAAAAAAAAAGTGTTGGATGGAGTATAGGAATCATTGCCATTAATAGAATTCCAAGGTATCAATTTGGAAAAAAAATAGAATTACACATAGCTCAGAAAAATAGGAGTAAGAGATATTGCTTTTCTTAACATTAATGACTGTGGTGATTTAAAAGTGCTTAGTGCTTGCTATTCCTCTTTGAAAGCAAACAGGTTGCATATTAGAATGGATGCATATTGTGAAGATGCCATTTCAGCATACTGCAGTTTATATTTATGATAGGTCATACAATCATTTTCCTCAATATAAATAGATTTCAGATATTCACAATGGACTGTAGGTGTTGCACAAAACACAATATTTGTTTTCAAATATCAAAAGAACCAGCTGAAAAAGAAAATTAAAAGAATATATTTTTATATGTAACTAAAATAACATACATAATAACATAGCTAAAATAGATGCTGTTACCAAACAAGATGGAAATGTTGTCACTATGAGGGTCAATATTTTACCACCTCAAGAATTTATCACATTTGATTGCATTAGCGCTTTTCTTTGTAAAACATTTAAACGGTTACATTCTTTCCCTTAATATATCCTTTATTGTAGGGAAATCAATAAAACTATACTATACTACACGTTAAAAAGACTTCATTTGTATCCCATTGTAACAGTAATGTAGTATAATCCAGGCAAAACAAATTGTATCACCATGATATTGATGCATTGAAAAAGTCAGATGAGGGTTGTGTGAGCAAGAACATCTGATAAATGTAATTAATGAAGGTAATTAATTCATGATAAATGTATTAATGAAGTAAACTTACTTCAGAAATACAAGCTTCAGCACTCGGCAACCCATGGTAAACTTAATGTACTATTCTCTCATACTTCAGGGAAAAGGAAACGTTTTTTTAAAGTGCATATTTCAGGTGAGGAGAAATGTCAATTGGAAGAACTATAATTTTTCTGTTTAGGGGCAGAGCAGTGGCTCTGTGGCTAAGGATCTGCACTTGTGGCTGGAAGGTTGCAGGTTCAAATCCTGCAGTTGGCAGAGGAATCCTATTCCATTAGGCCCCTGAGCAAGGCCCTTAACCCCAACTACTCCAGGGGTGCTGTACAATGGCTGACCCTGTGCTCTGACCTCAAGCTTCTCTCTGTCTCCCTGTCTGTGTGTCTCAAATACATAAAAAGACAAATTCCTAATGCAAGAAATTGTATATGGCTAATAAAGTGATCTTATCTTTACTTAATTAAAAGGAAAGCAGTTACAGTTAAGGTTAATTTTACAGTAGGACACAAGAATGAATTTGTAACGACTACTGAGGACACACATGCAAATCATATTTATTAACGTTTTTGGTCTCATTTTTGCTTTTTTGTGACTTTGACTTCTATGTTAAAAACATACCATAGAATTAAACATAGAATTAAAGTACTAGCAGCATCACCATGAAATGTAATGACACATTTCTGGCAAGCAAATTATGGTTTTTGTGGATTAATTTGGGGTCACAAACTGCATCGCTAACTGGGGTCATACTGGGAAAAAGGTTGAAATGCCCAAATCTATACCATGCACACATTGTAAAGTATCTGCTCCATACTTAAGCAGGGTACAGTACTGTATGTAAAAAATTGTTTCCAAGTTGTATACATACATCACATAGACGTAATATTTACGTGCCTCCAATTCCAGTAGAGTCCAGGTGCAAAACATTATTAATATAGTCCACTTCAATATAGTTAAAAATCCAGATCAGCTTAAATAAGAAACGGGGACATCCAAGTACAGTCAGATTTCACTGGTTTGTGTGACTTACTTTGCATTGAGTAAAATGCATATTGCTTCCATCACTGTCATAACAAGATCCGGAGGCTTGGTGAACACCCGGATTTCGGAGATATCAGCTTTGTCCAGGGCATCTAAGGCTTTGTTGGCATTTTCCAGGGCTGGCAGAGCTTCATCTAGATCCCTCTGGGCATCATCAGCAATGGCCTGTGTGTCCTCGGCCTTCACCTTCGCCATGGCTTCATCTTCCTTCACAATACGTCGCACCTGGTGGCATGATATTATACAATGTATGTTGGCAATACATTTAATGTATATTTGTGTGAAAAGAATTTTAGAATGTACCAAATGGTAAACAAATTCACAAAACTCAGAAAAGCATAGGGCACTTGTAAGCCACAAATGGAGACACCTGTTTTTAGAACAAAAGATTCTTCAGTGTGGGTGGTGCCATGAGACTTTTAAATAAGCTGTATGTCTAGCTGACATCCGTTCAAAGGTTTTCCCCAAAAACAAAATCTGCCAGGAGGGACAAGCCAGACAAAACTCTGATATCACTGAAAAGGATGTTAAAATAGGTCAGTTCCATGGAGAAGTTTTTAACGATTTTTAAGTTTTTCATGATTTTTAACGAAGGTGCGAGTCTGAGCCACTTTCAGCTGAGCTTTTCCAAAAACAAGCCTGCAAATCCAGGACTATACAGAAGAAAGCCGAGATCCAAACACCTGTCAATGGAGCATTGTTATTGATACATGAACTATTGTCATTAATTTCTTAACAACTAAATAACCTTTCACTTCCACCCAGCTGTAGAAGTGGAGACCAGCATTGCTGGGGTGTAATTCCTTTTGCCAGACCAGCATCCCATCAAGGAGAGAGTTTTACGTGCTTTACAAATCTTGCATCATTACATTGTATACCTGTTTTTAAATGCAGGATCATCAAAGGAACAATTCCCTTCCTAAAGGGTCAAACCATTTTGAAAGCAATGAGCATCAAATGACGCACAAACTGTCCTTAGCCAGTGCTGCTGGGTTTCTCATGAGAATGCACAAGGATTTAAGTTTCTTTTAGACATTTTCAAAGAAATGGAATTGGACATGCAATACTCTTGTACAATATTGTCGGGTAAGGAAAGTTGCTTACCTGATCGGCTTTTTCCTGGTCCACTGTCAGTTTTTCCATTAAAGCATTGACATCGATGGACTTTTGCTTTAAGATTGGCTCCAAAGCCGAAAGGTCCACTTTCATTTTGTCAACTAATTCATTTGTTTCTAGAAGCTTGGTTAGGCCATTTTTTACACGATCACGAGCCTAAAAATCAAAATAGAATTACACTCTACCAGTAGTATCACAGACCATGTTAAAGCCCACTGTCTTGTCATTAATTTCCAATGCTTTTTCACTGCACACACTGTATTTAGAATAAAAAATTATACATTTTTCAGATTCGAAGATCGAGAACAACAGTCAATATTCAAGTGCACCTTAGAGTTAGAGACCAATAAAAAAAGCAATTAAAATTAAAGTAGTAAATTTTCTGGTGACTACACAGTGTACAAAATATAACTATTTGGATAAAATACTTATGCGTTTCGATACTAAAACTCAAAGAATTGTTCAGATTTAGCTACAGTGACCTAAGCAGTGTTTAGACAAGAACAATGATAGTTGTTATGTGACATTTTTGATCTTCTGCATAAAGGTGCATCTATAAAAGCATTGAAAAGAAATCAAGCTCTTAATGAAATGGTAAATGAAAATGCTCTTACCGAAACCAGTTGTTTTCTTTTCTCCCCTAGCATCGACAGGTACAGGTTGATCAATTCCAGATAAGAAGTGGGAGTTGTGTAGTACCTCCGGCGAAGCTCTGCAAAGTACTGGTCTGCCATTTCAGTAACACTGACATGGATTTCAACACACATTTCCGAAAACCTGTCCTTCAACTGATCGCTTCCAAGGTCAATGTTCTTAAAGAAAGTCTGTGAGACAGACAGGAGGGCCTCCCGGGGCCACTGCAGAGCAAGCCGAACAAAAAAAACGTCAATCCAGGTGTCAGAACATTGTAAATCTGGGAATTGGCTGCTTCATTCATGTATTGTATAATGACATAAAGACAAACTTTCTCTGGATAATACAACCTTATACAATGACGCTTTAACAGCAGAATAAAATAACAGTGTTAGTTTTAAGGAAATTCTCTGAGGTAAGAACTTTGACCACTCTCCATTCAATCAAACAAAAACTTTCTTTGGGGATACTCCGCAAGGCCTGATCCTGTGCAAAACCACACTTTCAATTATTGATCTGACATGCACTGCCTTGCTGCAGCGGTTCATGACTAGATTGCTTATAGTCATCTTTAGTGAAAAACAATATTAAGAAAAATGTTTTACCAAGTACATAAGTTTTGGTGGTCATAGGACTGCAGGCTGAAGTGAAGTGGAAAAACAGACTTCCATGGCTAATTGTCTTTTTCAAGGAATTAATGGCCTTTTAATATTGAATATTGGACTATAAATTTGATATTTATCAAGCTCAAGATCTCACCTTCACATCTGGACTATAATAGAAATCTAACAGCCTTTACTGTAGAATACTGTATGTTGCAAAACTGGATTTCAAACTGGCATAAATAACACACAGTTAGTACACACAGCATACATTCGACTAACATTGCTTAATAAATCTTTAATGAATTCTGTTGTGTGAAGTTGGTCTCTGCTTTTCCTGTTAGCAATGCCCTTGTTAAAATTAACTTGAGTTCACTTACAAAGGGAAAGTCACCTTGAAGAGAAAAAAAATAAATGAGAAGAGCATTGTGTACTTTTGTAGGATAGTATACCACTATTTTACAAAACAGGGCTTCTTATTCATAAGGGCTGCCAAGAGCAGCCACATGTGATTTAATCTTTAACAGTTTGTCATCATAAGCTAGAATTGTATTTCCAATGAGGTCAGGGATTCCAGGGCCTAAAGCTCATACTTCCATTAACATAAAGGACTCACCTTTCAGACACTGTAAACATGAGGAATACATCAATAACAATGGACAGTATTATACTGGTGATACATTGTTTTTTCCTTCAGAATTGGAATATATTATATTTCTTTGTATACAGGAAGGAGAATATTTTGGAGAATATTTTTTCCTCAAGAAGAAAGGACTGCAAGATTATTGTCTGTCTGATGATTAATTTACAACCAACTGGGCATTTTGCCCACAGGGAAAACAAGAATCTTTGTCTTCAGATTATAAATTAGATACAAAGTAGGTGTACGGGACTGACCTGAACAAACCAGTCAATAGTGCAGCAGTTCACCAGTGATGGGAACATTCGGCAGCGTGCCCTGAACGCATCTCCTACAGGGCTCATACACAGGACAATATGGAGCTTTTCTCGGACACGGGATATGAAATACTGGAAAACCTTCACAGGGAAAAGACATTACAATATGTGCTCTGATTAGAAACAAGGTACAAAGTATCGCAAAACTGCAAATGAAACCAATTTTATTTCCAACCAAATTTACAACCAAAAATGTGTTTCTTTTAAATTTGTTGTATCGCCACATCTGCCTTTGTTTTATTTCAAATTGTAACTGAGCTTTGGCATTGTGATGATACCCAGGCAAATGAAACTCCAATGTTTCAATGAGAATGACCTCAACTAATGAAAAACAGCTGATGTTTCTTGTAAAATGGTGTTAACAGGGAGAAATTCAGTAATGCATGAAACTAGCCTTTTACAAAAGAGCAACTCAGGTTAGCTGTAGATAAATGATAAAGAGCGGGACACCATGCACTTCATGTATTAAAAGCTTGTAGGGGGTGAAATTAACAGTGAAACAGTGACTATCTTTCTGAAAAATTAAAATTTAATGAAGTGTTACTGTTGGCTGAACCTTCGGATGTCCCATGAACAATATGCAAAAGCAGACTACAGGATCATGTTAATAACGGGCTCCTCAGATTAATATGAGATGTACTGTATTGAAAACATCAACACCCTTAGCAAGCCAGATTGTGCTAGAAAAATAAGAACATCTAAAATAAAAGCATGTCTTATCCCTGTCCCACTAAACACTGTGGCAACAGCACAGAGGAAATAACATCACAAGCATTCTCCTTGAGAGAAGAAGACATACATAACTAAATTAATGTAGAAAATGGAGAGAAAAACTACTTTGCTGCATCACTCCATTTTATGTAAATAAGGAGGAAATAAAACACAGGTGTAAGCTTAGTAGAGTGTTTCACATAAACGCAAATATTAAGATATTGTTTAACTTAATATAAGGCTACAATATTAGTTTACTACATAGCAAAGACATTGTTAAATGTCACTAAGTATTATTTTTCATTGAAAATAAATAACATTGACTGTAAAATACTATGTCTTCCTAAGACCATATGTAATTTCATTTCAGACTTTATTTAAATACATGAACCTTGAATATCTGCCTATTAATATGGCCCCAATGTTTGCACAGTTTACTTTTTTCCACTTTGCCATCTCTAAAATTCATTGTTTATCATTATTCTGGCTGCAGAATTATTGAACCTGTTTTTTTATGATCACCACATGTAAAACCCATGGTGCTCAGAATGCCACAAAAGTAGTAAGTGAAGTAATGTTTGGAAAAAATAACAGACATATCTAAATTACTGTAATAATAATTCTGTGAAGATGAGAATTACAAGCTAAGCCAGGGGTTTCCTGGTCCTGAAGGGCTGTGGTGAATGCAGGTTTTGTTGTTAAAATACCAGAGGCTGAAGAGCTGTTAAACTGGCCCAGTTAAGTAAATTCTGACCCGATCGAGGTCACTGCTCATGGATGTTGTGTCAGATGCTTTTTCCTGCACATTGTACTTTTTGATCACACAGTCTATACGTATATTTTTTAATTTTGTGTGCATGTACTGGCTACCCTGCCCAGCCTAATTCTCAGATACTATAACCATGTTGCCAACATTTACTGGAAGTCAGGATACCTACAGTAATTATATGTTTATGTGTTAAGTACCTGTCTTTATTTGATTTCACAAAGTGCTCTTTACTATGCAGCATTTTTTTTTACCAACAGCTTTCACTTTCACACTCAATTTCTTCACATAGTGTACAGTCAGTTGTTGCTACAGTGTGCAGAATTCTTATTCCATGATTCCTTTTAGGCAATGACAGCTCTTGTTTTAATACATGAGACCCCATATGAGTTAAAAGCCTTGTTTCGCTAATTGCTCGGTTAATTCCTTGTGCATTATAAAATAATTTTAAAGTTGTAAAGTGGTTTCCAGTCAAACCTCATCTCTGTTTCCCTCTGGTATTCCAGCTTCTTTGGCTTTGGGCCGAGTCGCTGCCAGAACGTGTTCCAGTTCATCCTTCTCAAAGAGATTAGGCACTTCTCCTGAGTTCAGCATGTTATTAATATCTTCCAAGAACTCCTCTACAACAATCTGTGAAAAATTAACAAGTGCTTCTAACTCCATATTTTAGGGCACAATCAGATCATGCAAATAAATTGCAAAAAGAACAATACCTAAAACTTCTCCGCACCATGAATAATACTTCCATTCCTATTAATAAAGTGTGCACCATTAAAGAAGCAATTATTTTTTACAATTAATAACAAATCATGAGAAAATCTGAATGCAATTACAGCAGTAGTTATATTACTGTTTTTGTATCAGTGTTAGTATTCTTATTCATAGATTTGCAGATTGTAACACAAACACTTTAGCTGTGTTTTGACCCTCTGCTATGGTCACTGCCTTAAAAAATAACGGAATTACCTTTTGTGATCTCAACATAAACTTAAATTACCCAAAAAATCGAATAACAATGTTATACTTTAATGCTGTATATAATAAAGTGCTAAATATAAATTATTTATTTATGCATTTTTTTATTTCAGTAGCTTATTTTATTTTACAATTAATAATTCCTTGCATTTATTTATCACTTTTCATACCAAAGGACCACTCAACACACAGTATATACAGGAAGAGAGCAACTCCATTCACCACTGGAGAACAGCAGCCTCACTACACAGCTCATCAGGGAAAGAAGTGAGAAAGTGTTTCGCAGATTCAATTAAGATGGAACATAAGAAGGGTAGATCGAAGAATACCTGAGTCGAAATTAACCAGTGCTGCATGGTTAACACTCCTAATCTTTAAAAAAGTGCCATGTGATCTTTAATGATAAAACAGTCAGACCCTTGGCTTAACATCTCATCTAAAGAACACCACCACCAGCTCAGCTGTCGTGTCACCCTGTCCCACACGAGGACTTTGGTTTGGAAATTCTAGTCCAGCAAGAAGACCGCCACCTACTGGTCGACCAGCATCACTTACACCACCAACACAGTTTTCTTTAGAAGTCTCCCATCCCAGTACTGACCAGACCCTGCCTTAATTTGCTATGGAGATTTGTGATAATATTACTCCCTGTAGGCATTCACAGTATTTTCAGTTGTGCATGTTCTCTAAGCTTTCACAGTATTTTCAGTTGTGCGTGTTCTCTAAGCTTAGATTGACTTTCAAAAATTAATTGAATGAATGCTTTCAAGAGGAGCTTGATTGTTTAATTACATCATTATGCATCTGCATGCTCACAGATGTAATGAGATGTTTTTCTTATTGCTTTATTGGGTTCAGTAATTTTCATTGAGGTTACTGGAGAAGTGCTTTTATTTCTGTGAAGTGGTTATTGAAAGAATTCAATACACTGTTGGTGCAAGTTACCTAGGTGGCTAGAGCACAGCAGATTACAGATTCAGTCACTATTGTAATAATGGTCAAGTCAGCATAATCATGCAAATGAGCTACTCTCCTCTCCTACATCCGCCCTCGCAACACAGCACAAACCTAGTTGCTCTTTGAATGCTAATCAGGTTTATGAATCAGGAAAAAAGTTTTGAGTTTGAGCACTTTAACTGAATATTATTAATATTGACCGAAAATATTTTTACATCAATGCAAATGAACACTAGATTTATTTTAAAAAAAGTAAATTGCCTACTGCTTTATTCTTCTCTTTATGGAGAACTTTATACAAGTGTTTAGAAAGTATTGTTAGGGAATATTATTCGTTTTTAAGCAAGAAATCTGGAATAATTAAAAAGTAATGAAGTTAAAAAAATAATCTTTTACATTTTTCACATATGCCACATATTCCATTCACATACAGTATTCCACATCTGAAAAAGACTCCACAGCCAAAACGTTGTGGTGTCTTTTTTCTTTTTTCAGCATGGAATAAACCCATACTTGTTCCTTATTTTCACCTATTACCAATAAGATAAGACTTCTTGCCAAATGCCTTGGAACATTTTTTAAGTAACACAACAAACACTCGTAACACGAGCCTGAATACAGTACCTGTGTGTCAGTGAAGAGGAATACCATGTCCTTGCCCTCCACTCCTGCCATCTTGTAGAGTTTCCGCAGGTCATCGTGGAAGCTATCGTAGTTGTAACCACGACTCAGTTCAATCTGGAAGCACTTGTACCCACACATGTGGGCAGCCAGCCTCGTGAGGGACTGCTTCCCTGTCCCTCCGACGCCAACCAGGAGAGCGTTTCCTCTTTCCTGCCGGATCATCCGGGCAATCCTGAACAGGAAAACACCTTGTTTCATTGGATTTAAAACAGGTACCAAGGAGAGAAAATGAAATATACTGTAGATCTACACTTGATCGGAGCCAAAGATCTAGTTTTTTGTTAATTCCTTAGGTGCTTTTCTTGAACTGGTTAGACAGCACACAGTGTGTGCAAGATGAATTGAAAGTTGTTTTGTCACATTACATTTCATTTTTAGCTATCTGTCAAATAGTTTTTTTTTCATCTGGGTTATATTTTGGCTTATTTTATTTGTGATATTTCAAGCCTAAAGAGTATGCAAAGAGCTTGCACATTCCATGTTATGAGTTCAATAATAAGAAGTCTGTAAACTCAAATTTAGCAGTTCTCTTGTAATGTGTAGTTTCAGTGCTGCTTATTCACAAATATAATGTCAGAAATGGCAAAACATGAAAGTCCTTGTGTCCACGTGCTTATTTACTTCATATAATAATTATAATAATAGTAGAATTTCACTTTTGAGTGCTTTAAAAAAAAAGTTATACAACAACATGCATGCAATACACAACAGAAGCAAAAGGAAAGTGGGGAAAAAGTACAACAAATTGAGTTTGCGATACCAAGAGAATATCTAAATTATGCACTAAAAGCTTTTGTGAAAAGATTGGTTTTATGCAAGTTTTGGAAATGTCGACAGTTGCAGAGCCTCGAATGGATTATGGCAGTATGTTCTACAGACATGGGCTGCACACTAAATGGCTTTATATAGTCCATTGTCTGGAGCCAAGTTTTCAGTAGAAAGTTCTTTAAAAATCATGTTCTAGACCATTTGGTGTAGGTTCTTATAGCAGATGAGCAGAAGAACCTTAGAGTCTACTATACATTTCAAGGGGAAAATGGTGCAAAGTATTGAGGATGATACTTACAGTACATGCTGATGTAGAATAATTTTAGTTAGTACAGTACCACTCAGAGGACCCACAGAATTGTGGACATACTAATACAATAGTATACTAAAAGATGACCCAGTCTAATCTTGATAAATTAAAGACATGCAATACTTTTGTATCAGATAGGCAGAGTAGGATTTTTAACAAAGCAATGCAACAAAAGGGGAGGAAAACTTTGTGACATTCCTAGCATGCTCCTAATATGATAACATGAGGCGAACACCATGGCAATATTCCGGTGTCTAAATTCCATGAAAGGTTTGATTTCAGCTCAATCAAAAACAACAATTGGAGTGCTGACAACCTAATATTGATAATTATATTTTAAGCAATTAATGACTTCTGACCCAACACACCAAACCAGAGTTTTGGGATTTTTCAATATAGCCATTTTCAGTGTTACGTAATTGCATTCAACAGCAAAATGGTTATTAAGTATATAATGTGGTTCAGCAAAGCAAATTAAACACATTTTTTTTGCCAATAATAAACCCACTGCAAATCACTCTCTTGCTGACGAATGAATAGTAAAGAGAGCAAATCTGGAAAAGATCCTTACCAAAGAGAGCTTAGTTTTAGAAAGAGCACAAGTTTCTTTTGGGGGAGATAGCACAGAGGAGAAAATAATTATTGTAGAATAAACTGTAATCAGATCCTCTGGGCACAACATTTACATAATGTATGGACATCTCTACAATACTCCCAAATTATAACAGTGTTCAAACAACTACTTAGTACCTGTGGATGGGAGTGAGTAATCTTGAGGCAAAGACAGATATCACAATTATAAGAAAATGAAACAAAAACAGCTTAGAACAATACATAAAAACGCGAAACCCTAGTTGTATAGCTGATCCAGAACAATGCAATGTTCTTCACTGACAACGGGGAAAAAATAACTGGGACAAGATGCTCTCTCCAAGGCTCATATCAGACAGTAAGACATGTAGTGGATGTAGAACACAACATGAAGGCAATTAGTGAAAGATACAGCACAAATACAGTGGGTTGAAGAGTGAAAGGATGAACTATGAGCCATGCATTGAACGACTGGAAGCTGGACAAATGCAGTGTGATGAACAGTGGAGTCAGCAACAGCAGAGCAGTATCAATATTCCCCAATGCACAGCAACTCACAGATAACCACTGCAAACTTTAATCTTAATGTTAGATCCATACAAATTAATAGAAGAAGTCAGATCATTTTTTTTTGTGTGTACAGTGCCTAAAGGAAAATCTACAGCAAGTACAGTAAGTACATTTCAGCTGAAGTACTTAGTCAATTAGATAAGAGTTATAGAAAGCACAGTTACCTTGAAACATGTTCTATGGCATCTTGGAAAAATACAAGTTTAGTTTCTTTGGCATTAGTCACGTTATAGTCATCAAGATAGTCCTGCAGAACTGATCTTATCTTATCTGTATCAGTCAAATCTTCATAGATGCGGTCAGCCTTATCTGTCCCAGCCTGAAATAATAATATGGAAAATAAACACTTTATCCTCAAACAACAAAACCAAAAACACTGTATTTACAGTAACTACTGTTACTTCTCTTTTTTACACAGATGTTTTGACTTTAACATTACCCACAAGCTAAATATATATATATTTTTTTTTTAAATATTAAAACACCAAAGCCAGTGACTTATTTTAAACTGTCCCCAACTTTTCAGCTAACACTTCTGCACAAATTAGTACAATTAGTACAAGGCTATTGCCTTGTTGAAGTTACTGTATATCACTTTGCAAGTTTTTCTGGTACAGTTAATGTTTATACTGTAATTTTAATAATGTCTAGCTTCAAGTGCTACTACGGTACATCATATTAACAAACTTCAGATTAATGACTAATGAAAGCTTTTGTATATTGTATATTTTGAATATTATGATAAATAATTCATTTGAAGATAATGTTACCTTCATAAAATCCCCAAAAATGATTGGCTTTGTAACAAAATAGCTGGGGTCAATCTGGAATCCAAAGTATTTGCCTGAAAGGTAAGAAGATCTATGTCACTGTCTCTAGGCACCAAAGGCAAAATTGCTCAAATACAACAAACCAATACATGTCAACTGGTTTAAATGTAAAAGATTCTTAACAAAATTCAACATGCTCTGTATTTTCACAATCTATAAATGCAGTTCTCACTTGAAAGTTGCAAAAGACATCTAAGTGCTTAAGAACTTGTTTGATGTATACAGTACTACTTAAGAACATAGTCTGGTGCACACTACAATCTAGAGTTAAAATCTATTACCTTCAAAAACAAATCCCTTTGTCCAATTAAAACTTTAAAACAATCAGCAAATTCTGTGGTCATGCCTTCTGAAAGAGGCGAAGCATTGTCTTCCAAAAGAAAGACCAGACTAAAACAAAATGCACAGCTCAACAATACATTCGTATCACTAGAAATGTGGGAGCTAAACACAACCAGAAGACTACTACATTAATTTAGGAAAAACATAAGTGAATAAGATCGACAATCTGAAGACATGAACATTCACTTATTATCAGATTTCCCAAAGGCATAATTTTTTTCTTGATCCCTTTCAAATTTGCCATTTTTTTCTGAAATCTACTATAAAATTCTGTGATATGGAAAATACCGCATGCCAAGTACTGTAGTCATGCCTTCTAAAAGAGGTCAAATATCAATTTCATACCTCTGAAAACTGAATAAAAACACTTTGAACACGTTCACCTACCTATACAGTGCACTGTGCTGTCCTCAAAAACCTTTTGTAAAATGCCTCTGGTAGGCACATACATTTTAATTTCCTTTAATGCATGTTAAATCCATTAATCAGACAGGTTTTCTACTGCACTGTCTCTCTTGGCATCGTAAATATCTTATGATAGAGTCTGGCATAGGTTTTTCTCTTCAGGGCTTATTTCTGCTCTTACAAATTCCATGCTTTTTTCACATTATGCTCATTTAAATAATGCTTAGAAATTTCAGGGAAACAGTAAAAAAAATCACAACAGAAAATAATCCACCAAATTAATGATAACAGGGAAGAAAGTGTGGCTCCCACATAGAAGGTAGAGTTATATTTTCAACTTACAGTAAGTAGTGAATTACACACATGTAAGCCGAAATTGTACTGTCCCTTCGATAGTTCAGTAAAACTTTATCAGTCATAATATTTATTAATCACCATACTATTTTTGCACTGTTCCAAGAATTACCTTGCACTGTTTTTGTCCTGTTATATTTTCTTTGTTTGCTGAATTTTGCACAGTTTTGATTACATGTTATTTATGTTATGTTATTACACGTTACTGTTATTGTTATTGTCTTACTGTCTATTGTCTTATCTTCTGTCCTATTTATATACTGCACCTGAGTGACTAATGAGAAACACTATTCATTATACTATGCACCCGTGTAAGTATAATGACAAAAAAGTTTAATTGAATTGAAGAATATAATACATATTTCATCCATCCACTATCTTACTGCATCATCTTAGGCTGGGATGTGATAGGCCAGAGCCTAACCTTACAGAGGGCACAGGTGGGATTACTCTTTTATTGTGGTAGGCTTTTACCTGGTGAGCTGCAGTACCTGCCTTTTTTCCCATAAAATATGTGGTGACAAGTTCTATTATTTCACTTAGAATAAAGTATTATTAAAGATTTCTAATAATCCTTGTGTGCCTTGACCAAGCTGCCTGGTGCCTGTGTGATGGCTCAGGAATGTAGCTAAAGAGGCCCCACTTTGTGATCTCAGCCACAGAATGACCTAGTGATCTTTGCAGGTGGGAAAGTAAGGGAGGTGAGTTTATCTTTTTGATAATGATCTTCCCCAGGACAGTGACGATCTAAACTCCAATGACTGATGTCTACTGCTGGTGCCAGGATGTCTAGCCATAGCCATAGAGCCGTAGGCACATTTGGACCTGATCTTAAAGTCACAGGGCACAGTCAATCACCCAAAGGTACAGTAGATCTACCAGTAAGTGATCTTTACTTACTTCACCGTCAAACCTGATAGCATCTCAGCCAATCACCAACTGGGATTATATGTCTCCCCATATTATATGTTTCCCCATATAAACTGTAACCCAGCACATTTACACTGGTTAACCACTGGCTCTCTCAATCTCTCCATCTAAACTGGAAAATTGACTTTTATAACCACGTGACTGCAAGCAGTCCGACTCAGGACTTAAACTTTCTGCAAGATTCCAGGCTGAGAAAGTGAGTCAGCAAAGTAAAGAATTCTGTA